AAAGCCAGGTCTTCGCATTAATGGGCAGAGTAGCAGACCCCACTCTTGGGGTCTCTTTGTTAGGCCAGGATTTCAGATCCATCTTTCCCATCTGAAGCCTACTTCCACAGCACTGGAAAGACCCTTAACTCTAACCCTAACTGAGGTCCTTTGAAGAAGGTGTGTAAGGAAGCAAGGGAGGTGACTGAAGGACAGGCAGAAGTTAAAGTTACAGAAGTGTGTACCAAGAGTAACCAGCAATGATTAGGAAAGCTGGGAGAAAGGCAAGGGGCAGATAGCAGAATCAACCCTCCTGATATCTTTTTTTTTAAAATGTATTTATTTATTTGAAAGGCAAAGTATGGGAGCAGGGAGGTTCAGATATCCTATCTGCTGATTCCCTCCCCAAATGACAACAACAATCAAGACTCCATGTGGCTCTCCCATTTTGGTGACAAGGGCCCAAGAACTCAGGTCATCTTTTGCTGATTTTCCAAGCATATTATCAGTGTGCTGGTCAAAAGTGGAGCAGTCAGGATAGGAACTGGCACTTGTGCAGAATACCAGCATTACAGGTGGTAGCTTAACCCATTGCGCCACAATACCAATCCCGGTATCTTGATCATATACTTCTGATCTTCAGAACTGAGAAAATAAGTTTCTGTGGTTTTCAGTTACCTGATTTTAGGTGCTTTGTCATATTGTCAGATCAGGACGTGCTAATAGTATTGTAGTATATGCCAAGCATTTGTAAGCTGGAGACAAGAAGGCCTTCTATGCAGACGAGCTCTTTCTGTCCTGTCCCCCCAAACCTCTTTCTCATGCAAACCAAAACACAAATCCTAGAAAGCTCATTTTCTGGACTACCTCCCCCTGAAAGTAGGACAAAAGACTCTCATCTGCCATGTATCCTGCCCTATGTCCAGAGAAGGAATTATACACACATACACAGAGCTTGAAGAGTCAAACAAACAAGCCCTCTCAGGCCCTCATCAGTTGGCCATCATCAAATCAGATCATTCTTACCTAATCAGGTTCTCTACAACTATCCACTTTGTTCATTGAAATCTAATGCTTTCCTTTGGGCCTAGTCTGGAGACAGGTGCAGGGTGTCTTCATTTCTGAAACTTCATCTGCCACATATAAGTCACATAAATAAATGTGCCATGCTCTTCTCTTGACCATGGCTGCCTGGGGCAGAATTGTTCAATGGTTAGGAATGTTAAAGCAGGTGGTGGTGGTAGGGTTCCACATGTAGCAGTGAAGAGTTGTCACCAAAACCCACAACAGAGACCGAGCTGTGGTCAGCACAGCTTACAGCCTAAATGGGCTAGCAGAATAGCAAATAGAATGAGTGTCTGGAGAGATGATGATGACAGTAGCCAGGACAGTAAGGTGGTAGGATGCAAAGGAGTCAGGTGACCAGTGGAGACCTACAAGGCCTCAAAGAGGGGAAATAGAGCCCCCTTCCCACCACCATCTGCTGTACTGGCATTCCACTTGGCTGACTTTTACTTCTCAATGACTAAAGCCAACCTTTACGAAATATTTACTGAGCATCTGTGAGCTCACACCATGGGCCTACTTAACTGATTCTTTCAGGATTTTGAATCAGACAGCAAACTGTATGCCTGGATCAGTTCAGGCTATTATAACAAAAGACCCCAAACTAGGTGTGTACAAATGATGGAAATTTTTTATCCCTCAGGATTCTGGAAGCTGCATATGCTTCCAGATATCAGATGGTTCATGTTCTGTTGGATGGTTGGCTCTGTTAGAGCAGACCCCTGGCTTCTCTGCATGTTCACCTGGCAGATAGAGGACATGAAAGCTCTTTGGGGCACTGTTCCCAAAGCATTAATCTCATTCAGGAGGCACCCTCAGGACCTCATTATCCCCAAAGCGCCCTGCCTTCTCACACAAGCATACTAGGAGTGATGATTTTAGTCATGGTTGGGGAAGGGCCCATACAATTCATCCATCACTCCACTTTTAGGGGATATTTTGGGAAAGTAAGATCCAAAATGCTTCTGTCTTCTTTTTCCTCTTCTGCAGAAATGCCTCCTATTTCTTTGTTTCCATTTCCTCATTCACCTTCTGTTCTAATGTAATATGAAGTGAAGATGTCTTCGTTTTCTTGGATGGGGAAGCAGGCAATGAAGAACTGAGCTGTGGATCACTTCATCCTGGGCACATGTGGTCTCCAAGCCAGGGCTTTTCTTTCCAGAACAGAGCCTTCATGTTGCACCTTTGCAAGTGATGGAGAGGCAAAGTCATGGGAGATCAACAGAAAACAGGGAAGTAAGGGCACTCAGGAACAGGAGAGGGGTGCTGCTGTCAGCTAACCGGTGGGAAAGTAGCCTTTGAGATTCAAGCTTCAGTAGAGACAAGTCAATCAGGAAAATATCAAAAAGAATCTTTAGTGATACAGAGAAGCTAAGAAATGTGCCAAATTCTTTCTTCTAATGGAGAAGCTCAATGCTGGACAGATGAGATTTCTTTAAATTCTATTTATTCTTTATAAGAAAATGGATGATTAGAATTGGATGGTCTTGTCAATAAAGGCCACATATTTCTTGAAAAGTGAAGCATATATATTTGAAATATTTACTTATTTATTTGAAAGTCATAGTTACAAAGAAACAAGAGACTTTCCAACCACTATTCTACTCCCCAGATTATTACAACAGTCAGGGCTGAACCAGGCTGGAACCTTCACTCAGGTCTCCCAGGTGGGTGGCTGGGGCCCACTTTCCTAAGCCATTAGAAGGGTACTGGACTGGAATCAGAGCATCCAGAACACAAACTGGGGTGCTCCTAAGGGATGCTAATGTAGTGGCTTTATCCACTACATTACAATGCCAGCCCTTTACATTTACTTATTTATATTTTTCAAGAATATATTTATTTTATTTGAAAATCAGAATTTTATAGACATAGAAGAAAGAGAGAGAGAGAGAAGGAGAGAGGAAGAGACATCTATTTGCTAGTTCATTTCCCAAAAGGCCATAATGGCCAATTAGGCTGGAGCCAGGAGACAAGAATTTCTCCATTGGTGTGCAGAGGCTCAAGCACTTGGGCCAACTTCTGCTTTCTTCCAGGCACATTGGTAGAGACCTCAATCAGAAGTAGAGCATCAAGGACTCAAACTGACTCCCATATAAGATGCTGGCACTGCAGGCAGTGGCTCAACCACCGAACCACAGCACCAGCTCTGAAAAACAAAATGCTTGTAACAAAGAATAAGATGCTGTAAAATTGTTAAATTTATCCTGACCATTTGTATCCATTTTTATATGACATCAGTTTCAGAGTAAAATCAGCATATTGAAAAGAGATTATTGAAATAAATAAGAAGTGGGTGACCTAATTTTTAACTTTACACTTTAGAAAGATTTTTGGAAGTAAAAGTTGAGGTCTCTTTGATTAAAAAAAATACTAAATTCTTCAGACAATCTTATGTAAACAGCAAATATTTTTGTGAATGTCCAGCATTTTGTTGAAGCCATCCAGTAAAGCTACAGCAGCTGGCACCACTACGACACTGAGTGTATTGTTGGTGGGGACAAGAGTGATAGGAAAGAAAGGGGGACCTGGGGAAAATGGAAGATGGGACAGCCAATGAAACAAGGAGACAGAAAGAGCAAGAAGGAAAAAGAAGTTTCATGCCTTAGTGAAGTTAGCTACTTTCCCACATATACACACAAAAATAAATAAACCCAAACAAGAAAACCCATAATTTGCTAAAAGGAGAATGAAACAGATATTAAAACACTGAACAAAGAGCTACAGAAAGGGAACAGGAAGTTGGGTGTGAAGGCTGTTCCTCTATCTTGGCGGGTGCACATTCCGTTCCTCCCTCGCTGGAACTGGCCTGTGTTAGGAGTCCTACCTCTTTCTGAAAAACTTGTAGACAGAGAATTGTAACTCATGTACAGTTATTTGTGGATTATCAGTGCTTAGTCTCCCCCAGGCTGCCTCTAGATACCCAGAAATTTCTCCCTGATAACCAAATAACCCAGAACCCCAGGGAATCAGTGGCACCCAGATGTAATGCAGGCAACAGAGTGACACTGTGCAGCACTCTGTTGTCTTTTTGAAGCAGCTCTGTAGTCTGGGGATCCCATAAAGGAGCCTTCGTCAAACTTCAGCAGCCTGCGGGGAACCTGGAGGTCTGCGTTCTGCTCAGCAGCTGATGATGCTGTTGCTGCCAGGCACAGAACACGGTAAAAAAGAGCAAGTCATGGAGCCACCTGATGAACCTAGAAAATCAGGGGTGACGGAAGAGTAAGCAGCAAGATTCCAGCAGCCCATGGTTTCCTGCGGGTCCATGCAGAGGAACAATAAGAAGCAAGAATGTTCTCAATGCATTGGCAATTGCATATTGTTCCACTTCCCCAGCATTGGATTGGCTCAGTTTCCATTCAGGATCCCCAGGCAGGTGAGATGTCCCTCTGCATGTGACTCTGCATACCAAGCTGCACCAGCTCTCAGTAAGCCCAGAGAATTCTTCTTTGTCCCAGGATAGTCCCCTGCAACTTTTTCCTATCTTATTCTCTTAACTCTTCTAGGAAGGGGCGAGAGGGGGCGGGGAGCCATCAAGCCTATGTTTTGAGAAAGTTCCAAAAAAACAATTTTAGGGTCAAATCAGTGGCTCAACTCTGATTCCTTGACCCATTCTAAAAGTGTTCCTGGTACGCATGTTTCCACGATATTCTTTGCTTGTAAAAACAGGAAGAAGGTGGGGGGAAATGAGTGCATGTACCTTCTGCCTCAGACAGAACCTCATAGCATTAGGGAGAAGTCAAGTGTTGGCTCTGTATGAAGTGTTTGATCCCAGAGTATGATACGACATGGGTTGTGTCCCCTTGCATTCTTTGGACAGAAACTGCCTGCTGCCTGAGGCAGTGTGGGTGTCCTGAGAGAGCCACCTAAGTTTGCATACTTTCTGAGTGACAGGCACTCCTGCCAGTGCCTCAGGGCCAGGGTGGTGAGTGTCAGTGGGAGGAGTAACTGAGTTTCACTTCCTTGCTGGCTGCAGACTCACAGGCACCGCAGACTCCTCTCACACAGGAGCCCTAAGAGCTGCCTGCCCTGCTCACCTCCTTCCACAGCACCTGGCAGGAACTGAGCGGGCTGAAGGGAGCGGATGGGCAGAGCAGAACTTCCAGAAGCGAAGATGAGCACCCAGGATCCCTCTGATATGTGGAATCGACTGGACGGAGAAATTGAGCTGCTCCAGGACTTGGGGTAAGTGAGAGAGCAGATCCTCTTTTCAAAGCACTTCTTGGGTGAACCCAAATGCTCATTTCAATGAATGATGTTCATATGCAGCATTGTCTCTGTCACCTCAGGCTCCAGTTCTTGCTGCTGGATTACTCTGTACATGTTAGGTATCGCCTTTTGAGGGACTTATTCCATTGTAATGGAATGAATTATTTTTTCCAGCAAGCAGATAGGTGAGAAAATGGGACCCACATCAAAAACTGGACAATCTTGCGGAAGAGTTGGAAAGGATGAGTGGATGTTGCTTGGCTGTCCACTGGGTTAAGAATAAATGTGTTGTGGAAGAGCTTTGATCACTCACCCATTGACAGGCAGTCTGTGATGAGATAAATAGCCCACCCAAATGTGAGTGAGAGGGACTTTTTCAAAAGGGGGAATGAGGAAGTTTCAGCAACAACCTTGCTTGTGTTTCTTGCTCCGGACCATGTTTTGCAGTCTTGTATGCATGCGGTAGAGCCCTTTAAACACCAGCAATTCAGGAAGAAAGTGAACTTTCTGCTTCCAATAGAGAAGTTTTAGGAGTCATCAGTCTTGTATTTAGTTAGGGACCCAGGTGACACAGTTCATGGGAACATGCACTGAAAGAAGAAAGTATTGCCCCAGGGCGGAACAGGGCATTTTCTTATGGAGACCGAACTTTCAATTAAAGCCCTGCAAACATTTGCCTGACTGGTTTTGACACTTGTGCCTCAGGAGAAGGGATGCCTGTGCCTTCTGTGAGGTTAAACAGAAGCTTCACACAACCCAACAACAAGGGAGCTGTTGGCAGTAACATCTTTCTGTACGAAACCTGCTGTAGGCTCACATGTCAATTAAAGGTCAAGCTAGGAATCCAACTCTATGTTCTCCAAGAAAAACTGAAAGATGAAATCTATGTGTTATAGCTGAAAAGACCGTATCACTCAGCATTGCATTATTGCAGAATTTCTCAGTAATTCCTATCCAGAGATTATGCAACTGAGACCTCAGCTTTCATGTAACAAAAACAACACAGCTGGAACTTTCAGTAAAGAAAAGTCTAATTTATTAGAATATCAAAACTCCAGGAGTTTCCCCCAAGACAAAAGGCCCCCTGTACAGACATGCAAAAGGAATATCAAAGCATCAAAGCAATAGAGTTGGACTGTAGGATCTCACTCAGAGTCTTAAGGACGGCAATGCTTTCTCCGACTCAGTGTCTGCATTCCTAACCACTGTTGTTGCAAACCCCGGAGAGACAAAGGAAATACCACTTCTGGTTCTTCAATTAAATGAGCAATCCTTGAAGCCTGGACTCCAGTGACACATATTTAGATAACAAAAATGAACAAGGTGACATCTTTGTGTCCCATTAGGGGCAGGAAGCACCCACAGGTGAACCTCACAGGGAGCTAGAATCATGCTTTCCCGCACAATGAATAGACATTCACTATAAAATGCAGAGTGTCAGAAAAGGGATGGAAGCAGAGGATGGCGCAGGTGTGTCCAGATATCTCAGTTTCTGAAAGCCTGGGGATGTACTACCTCTGTGAGGGGGAGATCCATAACAAAAGGTAGCTTCCAGTCCTGTCTCTCAAATTAGGCAGCCCAGGAATTTTTTAAATTCCTGACATCCAGACCACTATCAGATGCCGATATCAATCGGTATCTCTGGAGATATTTTTTTTTTCTGAAGACGGACATTTTCTTTTTTAAAAATATGATTTTTTTTAAAAAAGATTTATTTATTTATTTGAAACTAAGAGTTACAGAAAAGGGGCATGGGAGAGGGGGCATGAGAGAGAGAGACAGACAGAGAGAGAGAGAGGCAGAGAGAGAGAGAGCTTCCATCAGCTGATTAACTTCCCAGGTAGCCACACAACGGTCAGGGACGGGCCAGCTCAAAGACAGGAGCCAGGAGCTTCTTCCAGATCTCCATGTGAGTGGTAGGGACCCAAGTAATTGTGCCATCCTCTGCTGGTTTTCCCAGGCTCTAGACAGAGCGCTGGATCAGAAGTAGAACAGTTGGGATTTGAATCGATGCCTATACAGGAGGCAGCAGCTGCTTTACCCTCTACACCATAGTGACAGGCACCTGAGCATTTTCTTTCTAAACTCTTTGAGTGATTCCCAGGCGAGACAGGGAAGCCCTGCATGGGATGCATTTCCTGTTAGGTGTGTGCTGGAGCCTGAAAACCACCCATAAATATGGTGATTTTATTTTTCTTGGTTGTGGGGTTTGAATCATTTTGGCTAATGACTTCTTTGTAATGTAAAAATCAGAACTCATCCATTTTAAGGGTTTGACTCAACAGTCTTTAGTAACTAATGAATCGGTTTTAGAAAGTTTTTATTGTCTTCAAAAGGACCCTGTGGAGCATGGATTATTCAAATGTATAGGTTGGATGATCACTGGGAGTTGGGGTGTGCTGATTTCCCTATGGCGTCAAGCTGCCAAGCAGCTGCCAAGCAGCTTCCAAGCAGCTTGCAAAGCTAAATACCATCAGTGTGAGCTGGTGGCCGCTGCCCCAGAGCATCGCTGAAGTGCTTTGTGTTTGTGAGACTGTGAGGCCTTGAGAATGACCCGATAATACCTCTGGCAGAATTCTGAATACAAACGAAACTCACACTTGGGACTTTCAGTGCACTGGTGAGATGTGATCTGTATCAAATGTTTTGTTTAATTCTATTTTTTAAAACTTCATAATAGCATGATGATTTAATACAATTGGGATAGAAAAAAGGTAACTGCTATCAATGACGTAAGTTATTTTATTAGAGCGTTAGATAAATTTTTATTCTTGGGTTTTTGATGTATAGGAGCAGATAATCTTTAGTGGTTCAGGGAGAGTGATATGCAAAGTCTTAGTCCTTTGGTGCCTTAGTCTCTCAGATTCTGAATATGCAAGTCCTGTAAGCTGAACCCTGAGCCACAGCAGATCCATCACTAGCTTTTCTAGGACATACACCACTTGCTCAAGTGCAACTTTGTTACTTTCCAAATGTATCGAAATCAAGGAATTCAGTTGTGTTTCCGTGCCTCCCTACTGAAAGCGAGTCAGCATAGAGGCATTTGTTTTCTTTCATCCTAAATGCTTTAACGTGTCCAAAAGCAAAGGGGAAGTAAAACTTAACGTTGTAAATCTTAAATTGTGAGGTAGTTTTACATACTCACGCTGTGCAAGCTTAGGAAGAGGAGGGAGGGCGTAGGGGACAGTAACGGACGAGAGGCCCCAGGAGACAGACGGATAAGTGGGACTGCGGACATTCTCCAGAAGGGGCTGCTCCCAAAACCCAGGAGATGCTCGGTGGCGGCGCTGGAGGCTGCCTGGGGCAGCTGCTGTGGGACCTGCGCGCGCCCGGGCGCCTGCCTGCCAAGGCCCGGCTTTCCCGCGCCTCCAATGCCTCGCGGCCGCTCCGGCCTACAAAACCAGGCCCCGGTCCAGCCGCTCCTGTCCCCGGAGTGGGCGCAGGTGTGCACTCCCCAGCCAGTCGTTTTGGCGGGTTCTGTTTTGCTGCGGGCCGTGTCCCAGCCGCGAAGCAGCGTGGGATGGGAGCAGTGCTTCCCTGGCTTGGTACATTGGAGCCTGCGAGGACAAGAGCGTGGAACCGGGAGAGAGCAATCAAGGAGGACCAACTAGGGCCTCATTCTGGGCTCTGCACGGATGCGGATGAGGTTGGAAGAAATCTGTGTTTCAAAGGCATATTCCGCGAGATCCTGAGGAGTGACAAGTGGGTTTCAGGGACAGAAGCCAGGCTGCAGACACCTGCCGCCCCCAGAGGAGGTTGAGAACACTCTGGGTTAAGAACTCTCCAGATCCCTCTGGGAGCAGAGGAGAAGAGACACTCTAGAAAGGCTGCAGCTCACGTGCTGAAGGTGGCCGTTCCTTGTCAAGCAGCAAAGACAACAGCCGTTTCCAGATGCGGGGAAGCACTGAATCAGCCTGAAAGACTATCATTCCTGTAAAATACAGCTTTATGCGCATACAGGCACTTTCATTTTACACAATATTACTCTTTCTCCCCCTTTTAAAAAGACTGATTTCTTTATTTAACACAGTTACAGAGAATGGCGGGTAGACAGATCTCTGCCATCCCCTGTTCACTCCCCGGGCTGCAACAGCCTGGGCTGGGCCAGCTGAAGCCAGGAGCCAGAAGCTTCACCTGGGTATCCCATGTAGGTAGAGCAGCCCGAACACGTGGGACATCCTTCGCCGTCTTCCTAGGCACTTTTAGGAGGGAGCTGGATCAGAATTGAAGCAGCTGGGAATCCAACTGGCACCTATGTGGGATGCCCATGTCACAGGCTCCACCACAGTGCCAGCTTCCTCTATTTTCCTTTTGAAAGGCAGAGACTAAAGCAGCCAGTTCTTTCGTCTGCTGGTTCATTCCCCATATCTCTGCAGCAGCCAGGACTGGGTCATGCTGACCAGGAGTCTAGGACCCTATCAGGGCTTTGTGGATAGGCAGCGAATACCGAAGTACTTGAGCCAGCACATGCTGCCTCCTAGGGTGTGCAATGGCAGGGAGCAGGGTTAGAAGCAGAGCATGAAGTTGAACCAGGCTCTCTGGGTGTGTCTTCCGAATCCCTGTACTAAAGGACTGAACTGCTGCCCATCCACGTTCATGGAGAAAGAGGAGGGAAGGATCCACAAACTCTGAATAAACAGCAAGTGGTAATTATCTTCAGCCCTGTAAGCCTCCTGATCTCTATCACAGCCTCTGGCTGCCGCCATTATTGTGCAAATACCTCCAAAAGCAACGACTGAGAAGGTGTTCCAAGAAAATGTCATGGATGAGCTCTCAAATGTAAACTTGATTTAGTTTTCTTGCAATAGAAACATGTTCTTTTTTTTCCCCCAACAATTTCAAAATGTGCAGACACTGCTGGCTCTCAGCTACACCAAAGCAGATGGCTGGCAGGAACTGGCCCTCAGCTGGAAGTCTGCTGACCCAGAGAAGTAACGCTAAGAAACACATGCACCCCTGTTGCAAGGCGGTGGTCT